TGACAAAATAGGTCTAAAAGGATAACCTTGTTTATGTATTTTCGGTAACTCTTTCTGAAGTATAAATTACATCATACATAAATGATTGATTTCAATTCATATTTTCTTTATTACCATTAATCTATTTTCATGAGTTCTAATCACTAATTCAATGTTCCAGAACTTCCCCTCTCAAACTTTATTTATTTATTCGAATCAAACATTTTATGAGCTCATTAACTCTATCTGAATCTTTGCTTGCTAGATCATCATACACATGTATTCATCCTTAATCACACTCTTATATATAAATATGTCAATATCTGTAATAACGTTGAATTTTCAAATAATTTAGGTTGTAAGCAGCTGATGAGAACCTAACGAAATAAAATGAATCCATTTATTATTCTGCACCAATTTTTGTTCTTGCTCTATTTAAAATTCTGTTGCTTCATCAGTTTCTAGTTAAAATGCTTGGTGTATGATAAAAATGGTTGGACTAGTATTATTTGGCAATTAAATCTATCTTTAAATTAATAAACAAGATATGTCAAAAATGGGACAGTTTGTTGTAAATATCGTTGAATCAGGTTTGTGTATTATTTCCAATTGACTGAAATAGGAAATATAACCGTAAGGTTTTAGAACCCGTTGTCTAAAGATATTATGCTTATAGAGAGAAACGAAGGTCATATGTTCGATACAATCCATATTCATAGCAAAGCATTGTCGATAAGCTCCAACTAAGAAGAAAACACCTGTCTCGTGCTCTAAGATATCCAATGATTCGTAAACTGATAAGGAAACTTATTCATACTGGAAGCGTTAATTCCTAGGCATTTACCTATTGCCATTTAAAATCCCAATGGTTTCAATCAATTAAATCATGCATTAAACTGATTTTTTAAAGCACGCTACCAATTAGCATACTGATTTGCAAACAAATAAATGAACTCAAAATGGTCGAATTTAAGAAACTTAAAACGATTCTGAGACAAACCAATCAAGCTAAAGAATTCCTATTCAGAAAAATGATAGAATTAAATTGTTTTCTTTTCGTTCTGTTCAGCCATAAAATATTAATCTATATAATTACAAGTAATGCAATAAATGTTATATAGTTGTTTTTTTACAAGTATAATCATAATCACTATTACTAGTGTCATTGCTGTTTAAAGAAAGCATTTTGTGGAACCATAAAAAACGTGGATACAATGAAAAACAGATGATGTACGGATAAAAAAGTAATGACAAGACAATGTAATATTTAGACTGTTTCTGAAGATTACACACATTGACTAAATAATAGGTAAATAAAGCATTTCATTTCAATAAAAAAGTTATAAGTGTAGAGTTGTGGAGCTTGCTGAATTTCATTTATATTATGAACTGATATAAGTTAGACCACTATTGAAAACCTGGAAGCACCGGAGAGTTGTTTCGTGCTAATCTGGAGCTTCCACGATTAAATATATTTAAGATTTCAATAAAACTCAACAATTTCCACGACTCCATACGGAAAACTATCATGTACACACTAATGACAGGCTTCGAGAGGAGATTTCCAGATTTTTAGTGAGAAGCTGTGACCAGTGTAGTTCATCAATATCGGGGGTGAGGCAGATGCCTACTAAAGACAATGGAAAATGGTCGCACAATATCGTGGATTGGTTGAGGTAAGTTAGTACCATCGGTGGATACCAGCTTAGTGGTCTAGAGAATAAGTGTTATCGCGCGAGATTAAAGGTCCTAAATTCAGTCGTTTTCGATGGTGGTGTAACACTGATCGTCTCATAGTTTCAGTGAAAAACAATTATCTTTCTCTTGTACAATATTGCCTATAATTATGATCACTTCAATAAAATGAATGAAAAATTGGTGATTCTTCACAAAACATATATGACCATTAGAAGAATAATGGGTTGAAAAAAGAAATTTTAGAAACATTCACTTCCAATATAATTTGTAGGTTTAGTCATTGCAAATAGTTAATTTTATGCAACAAATGGCTTTTATCTCTAGTCAATAATGGACGTGTTATTTTTTATTTTAAACAACATATTACCTTCACTTCATATTTATTTTAACCGTACATTGTAGGTTTAAATTACTCATCAACGTTTTAAAAACCATTTACTCGGTGTCCTATCATGGTTTAAACTTTTGAACTAGTACTTATATGTCCCAATTTCTACGCTGCTTATGACTGACTGAACTAATGGATTTTCAAAATTTTCGGAATCGGAATGCCTAACATCTATGTTATTTCGTTTAAATAGTTATGCAAATTATTGCTGATTTTCACACAATATTTTACATTCATTATCAGTGTCTGAATTTCCTTTCGAGCCAGTGATTTAGAAGTATAGAAATATGTTTCATATCAATGCCAAATAGCCTAGTGTTGAATCAATTCTCTTGCAGAAGGTCAGGATAATATAAATGCCCAAGTCCCTTTATGTTAATTACCGAAAACAGAGTTTTGCACCTTCTTTCTATCTTAAATAGGCTTACAGAACATGTCCAAAATATATCCGGTTATAAGTTTCTCAGTACACATGGTCACTTCATTTCAACCTCGCTATATGTCGCCCACTCATTATGTAATGTAACAGCTTACTGTGATTCAAACATATCGTGTTCTGCACTACTTATGAAAACAGACGAAAGTAGTATGTAGTAAGGAATGAAAAAAGAATGCTGACCAGCAGAAGAAAGTTAAAAAGAGGAGGCAAAACGAAGAGCAATCGGAAGAACAACAGGATAAGAAGAGTGATGAAGTATATAAAAGATAACTGAAGGAAGATATGCAAATGATGTATTTAATGTATATAACTTACGAAACTACTGTTTGATTATGCTTAAAACAATAAATCGGTTTTGCCCACTCAGTATTCATTCGCTACAACATGTTCAACGTAATGCTATTGAAATCCTCATACTTCACTCACTTCAAGGTGCATAGAAAAGACAATTCTCCCAACTAATTAACAGTAAATTATCCAGACGCAAATGAATTGTCAAGAAATTGATAAAATTGTTGGAAATGATTGTATTGTATACAATGACAATCGTATTCATTACGTGGGAGTAAGGTATATTTTAATTAACTGAATTAAATAAAGTTCGCTTTCAAATTTCTTCCAATTAATATCATCAACACAGCTTTCACACAAGGCATGAAGTCTATGCTCCCATTTTGAGAACTTTTTGTTGTACTGTAACAGAAAAATCCACCTAACCTAGATTAGATTGTAATAATAAGTGTCATAGTGTATATTTGCAAAACAGAAATACCGTATTTAATAATCAACTTGAAATATTCAATTTTCACTCATTACCAATACAAAACACATACGTTGGGAAAGCTAAATTTATAACTAGGGTTTACTTAAACAGTAAAACCTTGTCCAAACCTTCAATTATTATTCTATTCGTAATTATAAATGCATGGCATTCAAAGTTTCCATTTGATTAAAACAAATAGGTTATTACTTTCAAATATATATATATATATATATATATATATATAATTTTTGTTTGTTCTGTAAATGAAAAAAATATAACAGACTCAAAATGTATGTCATACCGATGTTATTCACAGTTTATTATTTGTTTAGAACATTATTCCAATGGACTATTGATCCTACTTTGTTTAAATGAGGTGGACTATTAAAAAACAAAGGGTTAAGAATTTCAATGGATATGACTGCTATATGAAATGCATAAAAGCATCGATGGAATTTTACCTGATAGATAGGCAAAGCTGACCAAACATCCCATTGACACAGAATAAATATATATGTATTGGAAAATAAGATTCTATGATGTCTTTCTCGAAATTATTTCTCCCTCCATATTTTGCCTACTAATGAGTAGACAATATTAATCGCCCAAGAATCAACGACTCTGGATAGGCGGATTGTTATGTTTACAAATTAATTTGTATTCATTATTGAAAAATGAAACCCCAGATAACGGAGGAGGGTTGAGCACGAGGTTAGCAGCCTCACCTCGTGGAAAAAACCTTGCCGAAATAACGCTAATTAGAAAAAATCATTTAAACTGATTCGGGTTAATTGGAAGACGAAAACGTCAACTATTTCTCATATCCAAGGCATTTACGTTGATTTTAACACTCAATCCTTTTAAAATTCACCAAATGATGGTTAACTCAAAAATACTTTCCGATGCATGTATCTACCTAGTATCGGTAAAGTAATTAAAACGTCACATTTCTACTTGAAGATTATACTAATGATGTCCAAAAAACAGCAACTAAACTTCGCAATTAAGCTTTGCCATTAAGAGAAAGAAAAGCTACAGAAATTATTCACATGAACTAGAAACGTTTCCTACCAATTTGGTAAACACTACTGATTATTTTGTTTGTGACAGATTTATGGAATGCTTAATGAAAAATCAAATATAAAAACGGAGAATACTCATAAAGTACTCTATTTTCCTACAATGAAAGAAAGTTTTCCTACAAATCGTTTTGTCATACCAACTAGATTCCCACTAATATTAACAAGACAAAATCCATTTCTCAACAAGATCTTAAACAGTATATAATTATTCGCATCACACTCATTGTTACATGAATAGATTGAGATCAGGAAGGAGTAAAGTTGGCTAAGTTTGTACAAGAATAACTGTAAGAACGAATAAATTCCAATATTCTAGAAATAATCGACGACTAATACTTACAAATCGCCACTACAAACTATCGGGTTGAAACAGGTCAAAGAATTGATTCAGTCTTGTAGTGTTGTATAAAAATGGTAAGAGGTCAATATCTACACTTCTTTAAGCCTTACTCATTCGAAAATTCAAACCATACTGCTGTATTTGAAAATATGATGTATTTACATGATCCTACTCTGGTAGTCCTGCGTTTATTCAACAGCCGAATTGATGTAATTTATGCTTTTTGACCAGAAAAGTAGCTTCCACGTTCGCACTAAGATTGTAACTAGTTGAACTCAATCACCATCGGAGAATTAACATTGATAAATCTGTGACCATATGTGTTGAGGATTTCATGTATTACCATGAAAACAACGAGAAGATACAAAAGATAGTCTGAACACTACCACCATTCCTCAATCATACATATAGTAGTTTTGTAATACAAAAGACCACAAGTAAACTTCTGAGCAATGATAATTACTTTAGTAATCATTACTGTTATCATTTATATTTATGTCTGGTAGAAAAATGGTCTTTTCAAAAGAAGAGATAATAAATAGGAAATATACAGAATATCAATTAGGATATAAAATAAAATAATTTTCTTTACAAGTTAAAACATTTCCTTAATTCTGAAAAATTGTCTTCGTTCACTGGAATTCGGCGAATTTCATTAATTGAATCAATGTACTGTAGAATGAAAATATAAGAAATAGTGCATTGTTGAACGTCATCATATTTTCAATTTGACATAAATTCAATATAAAAACGTTTCATATAAAATATTAACTGAAGAATACAATTTGAAGGGTAAATATGGAGGTGAAATGCATAAATCCTAAATAAAACTGATAAACTAGTGATACATATCAGTGTATCGACACAAATTGATAAGTATATCATTGATAGGTGTGATAAAAACACTGTTTACGTAATTCTGTAAGCTAAGGTAACTTGATACAATCAGATAATAATAATTTTGTCTATTAATTAACAATAAGTTGACAAAAACATTACGTCAATAACTTCTTTAACTGTTAAACTAACTGCCTAAGTACAGAAAATAACCTATAAGCTCTTTAATAACAACTATTTTATTTGAGTTCGCATGATATGAAGTAACCGAAGTTCACACGTAAAGAATAGTACATAACTTTTATCATAAAAGCTTTCAATACAAGTACTGACAACAAGGTGAAAATTATACTACTGCTTAGCATCAAAAATACGTAAAAGACGATATTTAAAAGAAGTAAGCCAGGATAAAACAAAGCTCTGCTTAGCTTCCATTCAAAGAGATGAACTGTCTATATTTAAGACAACAACAATAAAGCTTAAACTAGTAACTGACATACATCGAAAATCATAAATCAGAAGACATTTTTCTGACATAGAATTTTCTAAATTCTACAACGTCTTCAAACGTACAGAACTACACTTTTGGACGGTGTAATCCTGTCATTATAGCAACCACCTAGTCCAATTACGCGAGCTATTTTACAATCTAATATAAAATATAAGTGTAAATCTCAATCTAAAAACTCCCCCACTTTATCCATACCAGAAGTACATCAACCGTTCTCGTTGTGGGACGTATGAATGAGATAATATTTCAATCGACCCAATATACAATACAGTAAAAAAGCTCATACAAATAGACGTGTAAATTTGAATAGGCGGTATTAGTTATTGAGTTTATGGAACCTTAACGACGGAGACTACATAATGATGTGTGCTATACACTAGCATAGCCCATTAAACATCAAGTGATATGGAGAATAATTTAAGGCAGACAAAGATCAGCAAAATGATAGTATGAAATAGAATTACTAAATATGAGTTTCCACAAAGTAAAGGAAAATACATGGGTTAGAGAATATATTTATGGCTAATAACAATTCACTAAACAGTTAGCAATCACACAACAGGATACTGTGAAACGAAAAAAAATCATTGAGAATAAAACTTACACTTTTAAGAATCCTTTGTTCGCAGTTACTCAGTGGTTTTTGTTTGTTTATACTATTAGTTACAGAGCATGACGGAGATTCAGTGGAATAGGTTGATTTTAAAATCTACATTTTCAAAACGAAATATATTAAGGAAAATCTGATGAAAAAAAGGGAATACGATGGAATAATTGTTCAGAGTATTTCATTGTTTCTGGATAGAAGAGTAATTGTGGACAAGCGATTAATTGCTAAAATTACTAAATACACAAGGAATCCAGACACTAGAGAAAATGAACTCCCGTCTATAAAAAATAAACAAGTGAATTATTACAGACTTTCCTTTGTACACTCTTAAGGCAGTTTTACACTCACTGTCTGACAAAAACGCTATTTGTATAATTACTACGAAGGATTCAAATTAATCCATTGTTGATAATCTTGACTGAATCTTGATCAGTTTCTATTGACATAAATGTATTGTAGCAAACTCTTTTCAACTAAATGAACATAAAAACTACCTTTCTATGGGCAGATAAAAATGTAATTGTATTTCTAGTAATTGCTTTTTGTAGCTCAGATATTTGATCAGTTATGTATATTCCAATGTACGCGTGAATGTGTGCATATCCAGTGTCTCCTTTCATATATTCTCTTATTGGTTGTAGATATACTCAATAAATAATTAACATATATACTCATATTTAAATTTGCATATATTCTATTCTGGTCTGACTTATAAACACTTGGTCTGCTAATGCTTCTGTAAAAATATAAATTCCAACCAATTTCATATTTGGCTTTTCAATATCTCAAGTGGAAATAAAGTTAACTATAAATCGAGATTTAGCCTAAGAATGCATAGAAAGTTAACCGAGTGTGATTTAAGGTCAGATTTAGACACTAATTAACAAGTGTTCAGTCGTTGTAAGAGTATCATGTGCGGACTGCCTCCGTCTAACCACCTTTCACAAATATTTATAGAATAGGTGAATTTCTGGCTAGCGGTGAAATTCAGGACGTGCGTTCAGTCCTATTTGGAGCTCGTTAGCTGGATTTACGTACATGAAAATGTTGATGTACATGCCAGGACTCAAACCTATTACCTTTAGCATCAAACGTCCAAAGTGTTATCATCCACTGAGTTACTTATTCCACAGGATATCAATATCATTATTTGAACACCAACACTGGTAGAATGCAGGTACATCCAGCTGACGAGTTTCAAGTAGAACAAAGTGAGCGTATTGAATTTTGCTACTGGCCACAAGTCCATCTATACCACAAAGGCTAATCGCCTATGAAGCATACAGGACAATCAACAGAATATTAACACATAAAAAATTAACCAAATTATCAAGAAACTTATACTGATGACTTCATGGGGTTATATTGTACCAAAGAAATAAAAATTAGAAGACTCACGCTACAATTACTGGAGGAAACTACTTCATGCAGTGGATTACGCTGTCGTTCTCTCAGACGAACTATCGGCAGGGAACTGGGAGTATTTACAGGATTACAAGATTTTGATCTATTAAGTGTGTATGAAGAAAATCCCGGATTTCCAAGTGAACTATTAGTATCTGTCAACGATATACTCGATATAATAGGGGATGAAACAGTAATGGCAGATGTCAAAGCAGTGGGAGAATCAGTTGAAACGAATTTTCGTGGACGCTTAGCATCAGACTTCATAAAACATAGTAAACAATGAATTAAAAAACGGATTTCTACAGTATATGACGAACAAAAAAATACGAAAAGTTATAAACGAATGACATTTGGCAACGAAAATGACAGTCGATCAACACTTCACTATCCATTTAGCAAAGGCGGTATGGATAAAACTGTGACACAGAGACAAATCCTAACATGTCTTTGAGATGTGATTGAAAGTAACCCAATAAATATTCGTCCAATAACCAATTTACCAAGTATAGTTCTATGCAATATAATGTGGACTACCTGGCACCTCGACCTAGAGAGAATAAGGTAGGGTTTGAACCTACTTCCTACTATTTAAGAGCCCATTGTTGTGATCCACAAGCTTTGCTTTTAATTGGATTATTTGATAGTAATTGATCTCACTAATTTAATCTACACTCAACTTTAAAATTAAAACGATGGCAGTAACAATATGAAAACTGGGTGAAAAACAAAACAATCAAAGTGTTTTTAAGCAGATTTTATATAGGTATTAATTGATTCCCCTGACTACACACTATTTGATCAACTTAATTCCAGTTTTAAATTGTTAACCTTTATGAGGTTGCCTAACTTATTTTAGGTAGGTCCCTCTTTCACAAACTATTTTACAAATAGTCGAGAGAAAAAAGATCTTTACACTGGGAAAATTGTCAATTTCTCTTAGACTTTAACTCATTTGATGTATCGTGGTTAATACACTATTGAACATCTATGTTTATTTTCTGTTACTGATAGAAAAATGTTTTGTCTAGAAACAGACAAAAGTTCAAAGTTAAGGTCGTTAACGATTTTATTAATTAATTTATTAAACACAGTTTTTCATATAGTCGACGTTGTACAATGTAATACATTAAAAAGAGACAGCTGAAAGTAATAATGATTTCGGCATATACCGTTAAAATGCAAGAAAGATAATAAAGTCTAGTTTGTAATAAAATGATACGTATAGAATTACAACATACACTTATTGGTAACATTAACTGAAGGTTACTGCTTAGTAGATATAAATAGATTTTTACATCACTTACCTGTAGTTCATTCCCAGAAATCGGCTTCCGAATACGACCCATTAGTGGTTTAACCCAAGTCCCCTTCGGCGAAAATTTCCTCTTTATTCCTTGAACGAACTAGACAGGTAGAATAACAATAATGATAAAAATGATATGTTTGTAGTAAGAAATCAGAATGTGTAATTGTGATTCAACTTCGACAATAATCATAGAAGTGTTAATAAAACGAGGACAAGAGATTGGTGAAATTTGAACCGTATTTAGGCTATTAGTGTACAAATAATAAATGGTAACTTCTTGTGAATGAACTAACGTCATTGCAGGATTTCCTAATGAAATGATAGACTGGTCAGAATACAAATACTGTTGATGTGCTACATTCACAACGTCCATCCGTTTCTATATATTCCATGATCATTTGAAAAAAACTCACTATTAATGTGTCCATAGCTTAGAACTGTGGTGTATCACACAGTGAGTACTGTGCTTATTCATTTCCCAAATGTGCGTTGATAGAATGATTAACAATAAATCTTGAAATTCCACAAAAAACCCATTGACTACGTTCTTCAGTGATAGAACTATCGGTAAAACAGTTTTGAGATTTAGCACAATCTTTGAGAATTTAGAACGACTGAGATTCATAATCTGCAATTTGAAAATATCAGACTATGACTAAAAGAAGTGTGATGATAATTGGGTCAGACATATATAGAAAAAAGACGCAGTATCAAATCACTGAATATCAATTTGGTCCATGAAATCAGAACACTTTTAATCAAAGTTAGTCATGAGTTTCTCTACAAACTGTCATAATGGAAATTCATTAAAATCTAAGATATCAGACATACAGCATATTTATAACACAATAATAAAAACGAGACATTAATTAATGAATGACGAGAACTAACCTGAACAACTGAGTCCCGTACACAATTAACAATAGATGGATCCTTATGAAGGGTCGGCGATGTTGCGTTTATGGTTACATCAACACTTTGACCTGAAAATAAAACATAGTATCATTAGTGTGACTTGAAAAATAAATATTTATGGCTCAGTGGTCTATTGGTTAAGCGCTCGCGTGCGAGACTGATAGGTCCTGGGTTCGAATCTCGTGAGGCGAGGTCGTGGATGCGCACTGCTGCGGATTCCAACAATGGGACGAAACAGCCGTCCAGCGCTTCCAAGCGTTTCATGGTGGTTTAGCTTCAATTGACTCATGATCTCAATCATTGAAATAAATGTGTTTATATACTAAGATTTTTGAACCATACGTGCAGTGTGAAAGCCAATGATACCAACCATTGAATACGATTGTCTAGCAAGCGAAAAATAAAAGGTTCGCAGCCGCTTACATAAATCAACTCCAAAGACTATGACATCATGAATGGATAAAACCCCTAAGTCCAACAGCTACTTACCCTCCTCAAAACAAACTACCACGTTAGGAGTGGGAAGTGGCTGCCAGACATTATTTATTTTATTGAACATATAAATATTGGTACAAGGGGGCACCAAATATATATGCGCCACACAAAACAATGAGAATGGGAAGGAAAGAAGCGTAAAAGAAAAAGAAGAAGAACAATAACGACCAGATTAGTGTAAGGTAGTGTAATAATAATAATGATAATAATAATGGGGGAGACGGAAACGTATAACCAGAAGAAATCTTTCAGTTAAGGAAGATGCAACCTCTTTTTTATGAAGAACGTAAAAGAAGGTTACAGCAGGATCGCCACTGGCTTCTATTCTAAGCCATATCTTGTAACTTCTCTAGCCACTGTGTTGCACTATCTCTCGGACCCCAGCCAGGGAGTCGTGAAGGACCAACACAAGCCAGTCCTTTGCAGAATTCTTTCATACCACGACACCATGTCATACACTGACCACCTCTCCACTTTTTCCGACCAGTCTCAGCGTCGGCAAATAATGCACGACGTGGAATTCTCTGGGAAGAACATGTCCAAGTCACCCAAGTCGGTGTTTCAAGATGGTAACACGTATTGCATAATCGTCTCTGTACCCGAACAAACGATGCCGAACCTCTGTATTACTAACATGGTGTTGCCACTGGATGGCAGTAACCTTCCGGAGACAACGATGATCAAACAGAGTCGTCTAATATCCTCAACTCGGAGAGGCCAGGTTTCACAAGCATAGAGCAAAACTGCTCTCACCGACGCATTGTAGATCCGACCTTTTACAGCCAGACTAACATTACGAAGACGCCAAAGATGGCCCAGATTGGTATAAGCCACCCTGGTTTTCACTATACTTGTATCGATCTCATCACCCACGCCACCACCAGCACTTATGCAGCTACCTAAATACATGAACTTCTCGACTAATTCTATCTGCTCACCATCCAGGGTGAGTACAGGATTACGATCCTGCCAGACATGTTCCAAACACCTTGACAGAAAATGATTCATAAACTCATGAAAAATCTTTACAACGGTCAACAGACACAAACAGTTAATAGATATTAAAAAGAAATACCCATACAATAAAGCGTACTCAAAACTTCGAAGGATAAAATAATACGAAACAGTAGAAATATTAGATCTATTTACCATTCATATTTTGTTCGTCAGTATTAGAAACAATGGAGTGATTTTTTAAATCAGTTTTATTGCACAACCCACAGGTTGATTCAAGCAGTGGGTCGGTTATCTGGAATAAAATGGGAGAAATAAAATAGAATCATATGTTCAACACAATAATGAAGCATGTCGAGTGAAACAAATGCATACTACCCTTCAATTTTCAATGTTCATTATCACCTGGGACTTTTAAAGACAGTTTCACGTTTCAATAGTAAATCCATCAATTAAAAACTATGATACCTTCTAAAAAAAGGGGTGGACAAATTCACTAAAAACCGACAACCACAAAAACTGATAGTTCACCCAAAATGTCAAAGCATAATGTCTAAAGAAGAAACTCTGACAACCACAACTATATTTCATGATAAAACAATCCGTTGATAGTACATAGAACGATTCTACAAGTAATTTACTGTACAAGTTAAGAGTAGCTACCATAGTATTAACAACGGTTAATCATAACTATATACATAGGAAATTGACAGCAATTTTAACCATTCACAAAACATCTTACGCAAAATTGCTAAATAGATTCCAGGTGTTTTAGTGTTTAATATAAATAAATATGAAGAAATGATTTTAAAAAGAAACAACCTTAAAAAACATGGAATTTCGGGTTAATTCTCTCATTTTTATTAACTTTACCTACCAAACAAGGGACAAATGAATATAAGGCATTATTATAATTATTAGCTCATATGTTAACAGCAAACACTAACCTGTCCATCTGAGTTAATTTCCGTAACTGAAGAAATCGAAGTTTTCAGATTTGAGAAATCGCTTGCTGATATAATAATAATAATAATAATAATAATAATAATAATAATAATAATAATAATAATAATAATAATAGTAATAGTAATAGTAATAGTAATAGTAATAATAGTATAGAAACAAAATTTTATAATTACTATCTGAGAGACCCTAAATTCGAATTTCAAGAGAAATGTAATTAGTAGATGTGTGCATGTGTATGTAGACTGCATACCACTTACAGAAACTTCGCTCAGTGAAAAGAGAATATCACTAAGATCTGACCTGTAGTAAAATTGTTAAGTCTTTACGATTAGTTTTTTTTTCAAATGACTTGAAACGACTTTTGGTTATTGGCTAAAAAGCTTGAATTTAAAATTCTATAACAATGAACACAAGTTATAGGTGTTTATATGCTGGTCCTGACTGAAACATACAACGACATGAAAGCTAAGACGTTGATTAGGGTATATAAACCACTTTTTCTAATAGCATTCCTCATTTGTGATTTTACGCCTACCGCGTACTGTTGAGACATGCGATTTCATCTGGCTTTCAAAATATGAAACGTCTAAACTCACTTCCCCTTCTGTGAGATTTTTCTGTTGGCATTCAACCGAAGTGAGGAGACATCAATCATTGACCCCCAAATGCCCTGGTACGGCCGAGAGTGAGGAGAATCCGCTCCCTCTCTCGAAATGCTCTCACATGGCCACGCGTATATAGCCTCTGCCATGGAAGTCCTACTCACTGCCTTCTTGTAGCGGGAGTGTTGTTTACGAAATTAAGAGGACGACAAGCGGATGTCCGGCGCTTTAACCGGGTTGGTGGACATGGAGGGCCCACCTACGGGAGTTGGCAAACCCTGATTCCAAACCAATGGTGCACATGGGTTCCAGTATCCTGAAGGAAAAAATGGCGTATGAACCAATCGTTGGTCACTGGCTACCATGAGAATGCATCTCCTTACGTTGCCCCACTGCCTTGTGGATCAGACGTTCAGGTCGGAGGCTCCGGGTGTGGTCCCCTAAGAAAACCACCTGCTTCGGTTTGGGCACCCGGACAGTATCACAGCCCTCACACATATCAAATGAGATCTGTGTGGTGCATATGTATTTGGCGCCTCCTTGTAACAATATCTATGTGTTAAAATAAATAATAATAATAATAATGAAGACTCCTGACCAGAACTGTACAAACAGCCGTAGACTTATTGGTTGTAGTCAAAAAAGGAGCAAAGATATTCTACTTATAAGTCAAATGTAATGGATATTTAAAAACTATAACATCAGCAATTAGATAAATGACTTACCATTCTGAACAGAAAAATACTGAGTACTGGGTGAATATGATTTATTATCTTGAGACTCGGAAACTGACGCCTGCTTAAAAGTTCGGAATAAAAAAGCTTAAAATTGTATCAGAAGATCTAAATGTACGACTCAATAAGAAAATATAGCAATCTAAGCTCGTACTGTGGTGTGAGCTACTTATATAAGTAGTATATAACGTGAGGTGAAAGAACGTAATGTCCGGCAGCAGAAGATGGCGAAGATCAAGAAAGGAAGAGCAAGAGCACAATGGAATTGTAAGAAAACGCATGTACAATGGAATGGGAGACAATGGATTAGTGTTTGCAACGGGAACAGTACAGTTTGATATGATGGAATGATATTTTGCAAATTGACGATTGACTTTATGGTATTCACATTTTATTGAGATAGTCTGTAATTTTTGTGCTTAATACAATCGATTGTCCCCACCCATGTTCTTGTTCACTACAGTACTACATATTTCGACAAAAAAATATGCAGGCTAGTGGTGAGTAGAGTGAACGGGAGTGTAGTTCAAACCATGTTAGAAAATATTGCTTATACAAATTGCAACTTTGCCAGTTATAAATTTTCATAGTTTCTATGAACAACCTATTTAAAAGTCTTATGGAAAGCTAAGCAACCTATAAATAACACATGAAGTATCTTACAATCACAGGTAGCGAAAATAGTATTTAGGCTAACTATAATGACAGACATATACAGAGAATCCTATATAATTTATTTGATTTTTATAAGTCTTCTTTCAGAAAACCTAGATTTTCTTTTAAATTATGTCTCATTCTGAATAATGAAAGTTATTAGTGACTAGCACTAAAATTTGCGTTAACTTTTCTAAGCAAAGGATTCCTACTACCAGAAATTTATGCAACGTGACAAGCTAATTTAGATTCCAGTACAACAACATCAATCGGTTCATGATCTCAATCAAAAACTTAATAATCTCCACAACCCCTATGCTAGTAATTCGAGTAAGAATTGTTGTATGAGAGTTGCAAACGGTACTCTACCCAAAGTCCTACCAAATATATGAACGCACTGAATAATACACATATTGATCTGCAACTCGACAGTGATATTCAGGACGAAATCTTAAGGATTCACACGGCCAGATAAATGAAGAAAACATTTTATGCCGATACACTGCAGTTTCACAAATCAACACGCAAAAATTGTTAATAACACTGTTCATCTCATATAAAACGGAATGAATAGTTTTTGGAAGTGAAAACAGCAAAAAGAAACTTCTCATTGAAATATTTAGTTTAAATCAGAGTTATGCTAATCTATTTCGAAAGTTTGTAAGTTCTGATATCTAATGGATTTCAGTCCCAACATGTCATTCCAACTAAGGTCTGTCAGTTTGTTTCCGCAGTTGTAAAAGCTTTTCATAATCTCTCCGTCGATACTATTCGGAACTTTTTTTACTCTGAACGATATCACTACTAATGAAGTTTGTTGTATTCTGAATTATATACGTCAATCAGTCGTTGAGTTAGAATCCTTGGATGGATTATATACTTATCAAATATTTTTTGACAGCACAGTAAAGTAGCACGATTTGTACAGACACATCAAAAAATAATCAAGACAAAACGTAAAAGTATAACAACCTATATATTGTATAATAAAATAAATAAGATAGAAATAAACAGATAAAATTTTGAACAGCAACGATATTTTATGAAATTGGGACTTACCTGAGAATGTGCTACTGCGGAACTGATTATATTCGTATTATTGTTTGGAGATAATTTGGCAGAAGGCGTTAATATTTCACTAGCCATAAAATTATTGGAGAGATTTTTAAGTTCAATAGAGTAATCTGTAATAACATGAAAATTTCAACTAGCAGATTTACTTTACTCTACGTAATTGTGGTAAAATACTCGTATCGTGACTGGTGATCGACAATCATTCAGAGTGACCATTCAAATAAATGCTGAAAGTAACGTGTAAATCACAGAACAGAGCCAGTAGTGTTAGAATTGTTGAATTTACGTATTCACACCTTAATCAATCACTAGAAAAAAGTCATTATTCAGAATCAAGTTGATAATTCTCAATCCCGAGTATACTTTCTAGTTTATAAACTGATGTTTTGTTTTTACTATTAACAACTAACTTTAAGATATGATCGGGATATCTTTAATTCCTATTGGTCCAGAACCCATACCTTTCTATTCCCTCATTGAGTCGGACACCAGAATACGACGAGCAAGTAAACCTTATATCTTTGCTCAATCACCCAATAATCCATTCTTCCAGTTACCATAACTTAAACAGTCATAAAATTATATACATTAATTCACAGATTACACCACACCCCATATAAGAAATCATAGTTTATAGACGACTAGATCATAATTGTTTTTAAAAAAACGGATGAAAAGTTGAACAATAAGTTGGGAACAGAAGACGTATAACAATAGTTAATGAGTCCGAGCGGAAGCTACAATGCAGGGAATATAAAAACCGAACAATCTAATTACCTAGTCATTATTCAATAAAGAAACAAATAAGAGTTTTCCGTAAAAATGTTGCAAAAGTTAAAAATCTCCCAATATTCGCTCCATTGCAATAATTAGCTGACCAAAAACTTAAATAAGATCAGAGAATGAAAAGTATGATATAGTAACACATTTCAAGATTTAGAGGTAAATAGAGATGGAATGAATCTATCACAGCGTATATGATACTGAGCCAAAATATTCAAGATCTCAAACCACAGGTTACAATTATCGTGAGACACGCAACTAGAAAGTTTACACTTCCCGTAAACAGTTTAAATTAATAGTCAATTACAATATGGACTAATGATGTCCACCCTGTTAACCTGGTGTTTATTTTCAAAAAAGATTTAAGATATAACAAGGACACGTACGAATAAGATAATGTCTCTAAACGTAATAAAAATAGAGGGTGACTCATAAGGAGAGATTTGCAGCGGAAAAAATACAGAGGTTTAGATCTACACTACACAATTCATATTAACTATTTTTAACATATATTCAATCTAAAAGGGAAACTAAGATATTTCTCATTTTAAATGAGCGTTCATTAACTTTGTATTTATATCTGACTATAATTTACTTATCTCTAAAGTTTGTATTTCGCATATAATTCGATTGACCCTATTTGGACAACAGTGATATTAAAAGCTATAGATTCAACATGATGGGAATATTGTATTTCAGGCAAGCGTATTAGCAGACAAACAGAATAATCGCGTAAATTCAGTGTTGGAATTGACAATACCGGCTAATTCGTTATATAATTTTGTGCCTCAGTCACTTTTCAAATGGACGAAGGGTAAAATCAACGAACGAAGATAGACAACTACACATGACAAATGTACATAGATGAGAGGTTACAAGAAGGTGTATACAACATAACCAATAGAGATATGACTACAATGACCTGAACAAGGGTCACATAAGTGTTCTGATTTGTATCAGTTAACACAAGCCCTTGTTATCAAACCTATTATGTCAACTTAGGATTAATTGTAAATCATTTCCCTATGATCAAACAGCTTTAATGGTAAAATATAATGGGCGAACCTATAATAGATTGTCTGATCAACAGCGAACAGTTTGGGGAGAAGAATATTGAGTGCAAAAAATGTCATTTTTTATGTAACTTTTTCTCTGTCCTTTAACTGCATCATTGTCCAAATATTTTACATATAAGCGTAACAAAATGAAAATCAGATGATAGATTTCGTGAATAACAAAAAAATGGGAAATAACGATCGTGCCTAATTTGAATGGAAGTTACTGAAGTCACACATCTTGGCCTGGTAAAGCTATACTATAGGGACGCCTTAACGAGATATAACAAGTAACCCTAAAACCAACAAATCGGATGCTATCCAATAAGAGTATAAATTTTGTGAAAGAGTTAGGGTTTTTATCACGAACTGACGTCAGTTATGATGCAAGTCCTAAAATCAAGCTCTACATCCTAATTTTTAGCACAATACGTAAATCGTTCATCATTGGCATCGCCTGACTGGCTATAAGTGCTGGGACTTGAAGGTTGTTCGCAAGTATAATTCAACCTTATTTTTACTTATTATCCCTAACGTTCTAACATTAACACATCCTGAATCGCACTGTTCATCCCACAAGAAGAGCAATACCCATAAAATACAAAATCCAGTCGAAAGCATTATATCTATCAACAAGTTATCCATAATGAGTTTTAAATTCGCGCTAATATTTAACATCGACAATCTTGATTTCAATTAGTCGCTTAAGGGCGTCCGTACAACATAGTTTTGCCCCTACATCTGCACTATTTGTCCTCACAAATACTGAAATATAAAACACGTGACTTTTTCATAACTGCATGATGCAGTCAGTCGAAAGTACTATTGAAAAACTACCTTTTCACAAATACATGTGGAAATTCAAGTACTCATCGTATTAGATATAAACAAATGTCAGCGATTTCTTACCGTCGTTGCTGTCGAAGAGATCCTTGAAAAGTGATGAGTCTTTTGAAAAGGGTGAGGTTGAATGCATCATTGAAGCTTCTGTGATTGGGATATTCTGTTTGAATAAAAAATAAGAATTTCAATTCAGACATTTGAAAGCACAAAAAGTAAGGGGACTTGTTTCTAACTAGCTTTTCAACACGGTTGCACATTAATATGTCATAGAACAAATTACAAAATTATAAATCAGAAAACCTTATGAAGACAATGATGGATGACTAGAGCAAGAATAGGGGGTTGATACGATGCCCAAAGATTAGACGCAACAGTCAGCTCTTCATTGATTAAATAATGAGTGATCTACAAATTGATTTACCCCAATCACTTATAACATTTTATCACGATTATTTTTCGTTCATATTCTGTGTATAAGCATGTTATTTTATTACATGGAAAACTATTCATCTGCCTAGTGGTTTTGTCTTTGATTTCCAATCATTCGGGGGTAACTCAATTAAACGGTCTCCTGAGTAGCCATTCATTCAGTCCAATCACATTGTTGACTTCATCTATTGATTAGTATTCTAGTCATCGATTTTAACATTCAGCATTTCGACTGATCAAATAACAGAAATCTTCATCCATAACAGTACTTATAATATCCAAGACTATTACTTAATGAATGAACCGAAGCATGTAGTTACAAAACCGACAAGTTGTATAATGACCAGCAAAAGTCACAAAATTTTTTACAAGGTTGAATATTAATAACAGTTACGTAGTCAGTCAGTCAGTCAGCTGCAATGCACATATATGCATCAGTCCAAGTTGCCATACCTCATCAACACAAAAAGATGAACACCGGATTCACAAAAGTAGCTAATTCAGAGGTGGTAATATATAAAAGAAAGATTGCAATGAGGATATAGTACAGGAAGAAAGAATTAGTTCATAGAAAGAAAGATATGAAGCGATTTTAATCTCTTAGTTTAAGGGAAGACAGAGAGTGTATACACCGACGCCATTGTGATCGATTCTGAGCCATGTCACCAAGAGTCTTCAACCATTGGTTACGATAGTCACGCGGACCACAACCAGGTAGTCTGCATCTACCAACATGGCTCAGACTAGAAGTTAATGACTACAAACACTGATGCCACGCTTTGATTTGGTCGCCCCTAACTTTCTTCCAACCATCCGGAACACCAGTTAGCATTGGATGTCGTGGTAATCGGTGTTCAGGTATACGTAACACGTGGCCCAACCATCATCAACTGATTTACCATCATTCCCTAATACCCTGCGTCTAACCTCACTATTACTTACCAGGTGATCCCAGCAGACGCTAGCAATATTTCTAAGGCATCTGTGGTCAAATACTAGTAGCTTACGAGTGTCTTCTACTCTTAATGGCCATGTTTCACTGCCGTAAATTAAAACAGAACGGACTGCCGCGCAGTATACTCGTCCTTTTATTGATAGACGGATATCTCGCCTTCGCCATAGGTGAAGTAAGTTGGCAAAAGTCAAGCGAGCTTTTCGAATCCGTGCTGAGATTTCGTTAGACACCAACCCATTAGGGCTGATCAGACTTCCAAGATAAGTGAAGTTGTCAACGCGTTCGACTACTTCACTCCCTATCCTTAGTTCAGGTGTTGACGCAGACCAGTCCTGAAGCAGTTACGTAAGAAATAAAAGATGAATATTAGTAATGATTATATGAGGAACAAACCCCAAGAAGTTCAATTCAGAAGAGAAAAAAGAAGTCGAAGAATATTACATTGGCAACTTAGGGTAGTTTGTATCGGATTAAGTCGTATTGATTAGCAAGGTAATGAGGTTAGTACGATAGATTTCTCTTCAATACATATTGTTAGTTTCTGCAGATGTAACCCAATGTTCTCCGTTGTTTACAGCACATTAAATGGGATACGATAAACAACTTGAAAGTGTATTTACGTCGGCTTCATATCCGATATGAATCAAGTGATGAAAAATGTAGCCTTGATTGGTTTAATAATTTTCTTATATGCATAGAAATATTACTGTATATTAGGGTAACGCCTGATGAGGATCTAATCGAAAACAATATGTTGTTCCAATCTAAATCAACTTTAACAGCTCTTTATATCGTTAAGAAAGATGAAGTTGAGAAATAATAATTCAAAAAAATACCTCTTGAAGCCAGCCACTAGTGAGCACATGATGATTATTATCAGAAGGGTTTCTTGTGGAGATTGTAATAATTTAATAGTTGAGTTTAAGAAAATTGAAATTTATATTATACATTGTAATATGCAGCAAAAATAATCATATCGATTTAGTACAAAAGTACTTAAAAAGTCTGTTTATAACATTTTTTATTTTGTCTATTCAAGTTATTTGCTAGTGAGTTATCTATGTAAATTGTTTTAATGACTAGCCTAAATTATCTCAAGTGTAACTGAGAAGAAACAAAATACGATTAATTTGGCCCATTTAGTAAAATTTGTATTTTCCTCTGTTTACATTCGTACAGGGAAACCAAGTGAATGGATAGTTTTCATAATGCTGCTAAAATAATCACCAATACACTGTTAGACACAATATGAGATAAAACTATAAACATCAAGATGGAAAATCACATTTGAGTGTGAAAAAGACCTTGTATAAAAACCCACTTCTTTATTTTCAATAACTGTTGAGGAATTGGTGACCACATAATTTGTTGGTTTGTCAACAGCGAAAACACCAGGCAAGCTATCAACAATAAACGACGTTCTTAAAGGAGGGTATTGTTGGGGAGGATCTTCTGTCGGAGGTATATTAGAGCATGGTCCGAGAAAGTCACTGACAATAAAATCAAGAATTAGGGCAACAAAAAAAGTTATAAAACAAAATGAACATAGCAAATGGTATTCTTAGTTGACTCGACTGAGAATTGGCCATAGCTGCTTAAGACGATAAATAAATCCAGTTGATTTAAAACATTCGTTTACGAGCATAGTAGAGACAACAATTCAATCAACAACAAAAAAACTCCCGTTCAGGTGACATAACCAGTAGCTAATACTGTTTCCGCAATACGAAATTGTTAGAGCTCGTTAGTGAGACGAACGATGTTGTAACAGGTTTTAGTATAAAGGTATACAGTACTGACAACTCATGAAAATAACCGCTTCCTAAAATATTTGCTCGTAGGATTTATTCGTGCAGTGCATACCAATGATTCAACCATACAGGTTTCATTAGAGGGTATTTCTTATTGGTGCATCATCAAAGTTTGAGTGGCTTGTTTAACGACGCGTTTTGTAACCAATTTAATTTTTTGAACGTAACAGGAAATTGTACTGGTGGCACGTGATGAGTTGTGTGTACGACTCACAATTTGACTTTGACTGACACAAATGTAGCTCCCAACAATCGACTGTTACTAATGCTTAAGGATAAGGTCGATGGGAGTTATCCGTGACATACATTTTATGTTTGGGTTTAAATCATTTCACAGCAAAAACAAGCTATAATTTCAGTAGAAATGAGTATGTCAAAAATAGTGCGTAACCCACGACTCATGACACATACTGCAAGTAAAACTCCATCGAGCGAAGCTGCATTTAGTGCTTTCAGTTGATATAGCTAGTCAATCGCTCTGTATACATATAACACGCCTTAACTATCTCAATACATAATTTCGTTGTATGATTCATTCATTTTAAACAAACCACTAACGGAAATTAAAGTCAAATTTTCATTGACAGAAAAAATTTATCATCAGAAACCAATTAAATATAGTTCATACCATTTATTTTTATTAACACCAACACGTTTCTTTTTGGATATGGCTTTTTTCCGCACTGGTAAACTAAGAGGAAGGTAAATATAACGATACATAGAAACTTACCGTGGAAGAATAGGGTTTTTATTAGTGTTGCCGATAGCTTCAGTCCTAAAATAATTAGTAGACAGACATTCAATGGAGTCAAAATAAAATGAAAGTTTTACTCTCAGAAAATAGTATGATACATCTAAAAACTAAGTGTCCCGTGATTACTGTAAAAACGACTGACTATAAAACAGGAACATACCAGATACATCGTTTAACACTTTAAAGAAATAAATTTTGATAGTTCAATAAGACAAAACCAAATCGAACTGTTCGATCTACAGAGCGCAAAACAAAATTAAATATTCACTGAAATCATGAGCCGACCAATGTTAGAAAACCATTAAAAACCTGGGAGTACTAGACGGCTGTTTCGTCCCAGTATAGGACACCTTAGCAGTACGCATCTACGACCCCTCACGCAGCAATCGAACTCAAGACCTTCGATCTCGCGCTCAAACGCTTAACCTCTAGACTACTGAGCCGGCATCCATATTGAGCGACTGTCTCCCATTGTTGTTAGATCCCAGTGCATCCAAGTTTTTAATGGTGATCTAACACTGGTTGGTTCACGACTTTAACGAAACTCAACAATCTCTGTAACCCAATACTTAAAATAGAATATTGCTGACTAATTAAAAGTCAACTCAAAAACGACCTACGGCTACCAGCTTGATAGGCCAGAGGGAATTTACCAGAGAGATAAGAAATCATTAACGCCATATTATGATTGTAACGAGTTTACCAAGTACAGACTGATGTATTCGGCTTTGAGTCACTCAATTTTAGTGTGAGGGTTAGAGATATTACATGGTTGAACGGACTGAAGGTGACGCAGGGTTCGGACCTTAGACCTATCGGTTGATCGTTTGGTGAGCTTTCGTTATCAGAAATGTATAAAGCGGAAGGCTTAATGGAACAGGAACTCATGGAATTAAAGTAGTAAACAATCTGCTATCCATCTGCCTTGCTTCTGCATAACTATATACATGATACGGTCACTCGTTTATAAATCCAAGTTAATAGTTCAGTAAAAAAACTCACACTCCAATCATCTGAGAGAAAACTGTTGCATTGGTATGAAATTCCTGGATAATTGAAAAAGATTCAATAAAAGCAAAGTGCTCCTTCTGAAAGATGAACATATTAATGAGTAATGAAAAAACCTTCTCTTCAAGGTACTGAACAGAATAGCTCAAAATTCTAATTAACCAAAAGCATGTTTCGATAACGCGTATACGGCGACTAAACCCGTGCTAGCAGAAAAGCAAATATTGTAGATATACCTGCACTTGGGTAAAGGGTCGCGTACATAGGACATGAATTTTGCGCTAATCCATAAGTTACCATCATAGATCCTAGGATACTATAAACGTCAAGTTAGAGCAAACTTTTTACTTGATTAGATGTAGACAGTACAGCGAAAGGCTCCTCTACGTCACAACAAAGAAGGCTACCCATAGTTGATCGACTTGCCGTAAAAATAAATGGAGTGACTCGAAGTAACTGAATTGCAAGTCGTTTATCAGGAACAGACCTCGCCCAGTGTGTATTTAACTTTTTTTGAAGTGAACCAGTCATACTTCCAAAATCTGAAAAATAAGATTTAGTATTGAAAATTATGACAAAATTATCTGAAAGACGGAATTCGTCGATTAGTGATTTAAGAGGTAATCAGACTGGCGTGGAAAGCGTGGATTTTATTTGCTTATGTGTAATTCAAAAATCACCAGTAAGAAACCATTGGAATACACAAAACAAATCATACGAGGAAACAAGAGGAGAATTATTGAATAACAGCACGAACGAGGTCATTGAATGCGTAAATAAACCAAATAAAATTTACTTCTCCTAGGAAGCACCAATTGTATGTATTTAAGGTGCAATGACACAGATAGCTTGGTATACTGATGAACACTTTCAGGACGGTGGTTCAGTGGTATACATGTTTGACTTTTAGTCACTAAGCCACAGGTCCGAACTTTGCAACCTGGTAGTTTTACTAGCCCTGACACTGATTGTATGGATCAAGGGGGGAGGCACAGACCTGTAACACCCAATGGGTTAGGGTTAATAATATCCCACAAGGCCAGAACAGTTATTCAGATAAAATGTAACAAAACCCTAACTAATGACAGAGAAGTAGTTGCATTCTTAGACCACTTCACTTATCTGAGAAGTCCTGTCACCCCTGTATGATCGGTATTTGATAGAATCACGGTAAAATTCAAAGACTCCCGCCAACTTGAGGAGTAGGCATTACTACCGTCAGCCAACCAAAGGCCGAGTTTGCTAAACAGCAGTACCCGCCGTCCCACTTTTTTTGTTTTGAAACATATCCTTTAAAAATAGATACTCATGTTACTAGTATTTGATCATAAGTACCTCTGAAGTGCTGTCCATGTTTGTTGGGACCACGTAATTAGGAATTTAGAGGGTACTAGGTAGGGATAGCTAATTGGTGGATGAGATTGGCTTCGTCGAGGTAGCATTCGTATGTTAAACCACTGCCTACCTCAACGAAGAACGTTTGCTGATGTAGGAGTCAGTTGAAACAAGATTGGAGGCAACTTAAACAAAACGTGGCACTAGATCATAAAACCACTGACCGTTGGACGGAGTTAAGTTTTTGCGTACAGATAGTTTGGACACCGCGCGATTATCGTAACCAAAGATTGGAAACGTTAAGTGACATGACTTAGAATAGGTTGTGTCAGCGCTCTAACTTTATTATGAATTACAATGAATGAACCACGAAATATAAATATTTATTATTGTATACCAGACTTAGGTTAACCCTGTTGGGCAACGGTTGTGTTAAAAGCTAAATACAAATTTAATAAGAATTTGTTTTATTTACGCAGACAGACGGTAAGTGCAACATGGAGAAAGGATTCTCAGCCTATTCGATTTGATCGAGCACGACTCATCATTTATAGTTAGAAAAAACTGAAGACATGTGACAAACAGAGTATGTGATAAGAAAAACACGAACAGATACGCTCATATAAAGGCAGTCAAGGTTACAACTAAACAACTGACAAGGTATATGAGTATATAATGTCCAAAAGCTGAAACAATCTATGTGAACTTGAAATAGTACTAAATACTACAAAGCCACTGATGCGTACATGCGTTCACTCTCTTTCCCTAGGCCCTGCGTTTCAACAAAGTCTTGCAGTTTTTAGTGTTCAAATCCCTTTTCTCGAATCATATTGTCTTTGTCTAACCTTTTATGTTACTACTGATAGTGTTACAACCTCTACTACTCTAGGATTTTACTTGGCAATTTTATCTCGTTGTGCTAGTGGCATGATTACTTCAGCCGATGCACATGTCCCAGGATCTAGGTTACATATGACTGATCTCCTGGAACCGATCCCTTACCTGGAAACTCAATCACCAACTTAGAATACACAGATGAACTAGCTTTGTCTGGTAAAAGGCTTGAGAAAGTGCAGTTTTCGAATGTTTTGAGTAACCATTCAAGTGTTTGGGATGCGTTTTTATCCTTCAAAATACAAAATATTGCATCAGAACTGATATATACCAGTGTTTAGTTCGGCCAACAGGAATGAACTAATTGAACAAACAGGTGTCCTGGCTGCAATACCATTAACACTGATTATTAAACATTAGCAGAGTTTTTTGAATACGCATCAAGATTTCTTCTGGCATAAACCCACAAGTAGTGATGACACTCAAGATAAGAGAAGTAGTCAATGAGCACTTCAAGCTGATTGGCGGTTGTCAAGCTATGCATTGATGCAGACCGGTTTTTAAGTACATGCTCAACATGCTTCTTTTAGATTTTTACGCCTAAAGACTAGTCAGCATCTGGAGCCATGATAAAGTCTCAAAAACTCTTTCAGCCTCGACCGCATAGCTTCAATATTTTTTATGTGCACTCTGTTTGTTGAGTGCACAAAGTGCTACTTTTGGATATAGACACGATGCACATAACCAGGCCTGTGCAGGAGTCTGTACGCTATCCAAACATCCGTATATATTGCAGTACCTGGCTGCAGCCGGTGTTACTGGTGCTTTCGTTATCCAGTTCGCGATAATTTCCCTAATTTACATTAGTTAGGAATTATATGTGGGGTTTTCATCACGAAATGACATCAGCTATAATGCCAGAAATTTATTTAGCCAAATGGATGAAAGGCTTTCGCGTTAAAACCCGAGATTTATTATCTTATACCTGATTGATTCGTTCACAAATTATAGTCTCACCATTTTATTTATCACGTTTTGTATAAAATCCCCTGTGAACCGAACGTACGTTAGCACTAAGCGACGTAACCTTGAAATCTCTAAAACGCCTCTGATTGGCTCGTCCATAAATTAGAGTCTCGCCGGTGTGGAATTAAAATCTGGTCACATTTACGACCAATAATTTTGAAGACTTCATGCCAAAAAAATAAATGCGTTTAAGATGCCGAAGATAAGTATGTAGAATAGACTACAAAACATTACAAGTGCCCGGACAAATATTTTACACGCTTTCTCTAGAGGCAATTACCCTACACCTAACTAGAACATACCTCCTGTTAGAAAATTCCCTCTTTTGTGCAGCTTTAACGAACTAATGTCTCACAAAATAGGCTTTTTTGCTTGGTGGATGAGACAAGGCTGTTTCCAGGATCCCCAATGCTTTAGATCAAATTTCCATGTTAAACAAATTTTGGTCAACAATTTCGTAGGGAGAAAAAGAACATGGGGTGAAGCACGTTGCAGGTGGAAATAAATGCAAGAAAATACTTACATTTATCGCGAACCTGGAACTAAACATGAAACAGTTAGCCTCAAAAGGGCAGTGATTTTTGTACTTGTTGTGATTATACTTGCTTTGAGTACTTGTTGCACCAAAAAGCATTCTTGGTCTACTTTAACTTAGAGTACTTTGGTTAAAGTTTGAAACTTTTTGCTAAATTTTGTCCTGAGTACCTTTTTTTACTCCTGACTAACATTTGTGTTCACATTGTGATAATTTTGTGTTTTTTAAACCTTTTAAATCGAATTACAATGGTTGGTAAGACTCACAAATGTGGGCAACCAAATTGTTTGTTCCCCGTGGAGGAGGGAATGCAATGTGACGATTGTAAAAAGTGGTACCATAAAATGTGTACACGCCTAAGTCCGACGGCTTACAAAAGATGCTCGAAGCCTAACTCGCATTGGCTTTGTATGTTCTGCTGTACGGATAAAAAAGTACTAATTCGGGAGGTTATGGGCCTATTGGCTTTGGCCTGCAAGTAAAACGATGGCGGAAGCAATGATAACAAGAGCACTGACGGAGAAGAATGTGTCAGTGTAGTAAGTGCTGCTACCGGACCCGTTAAACACCTGACTGTGGTTGACGGGAACGTGAAATCTCCGTTGACATTAACGAGGAATGAAGTGCCGCTTGATATTGACATCGGCAGTCATACACCTCTAGCCGAAATAGAAGATCCGGATAAAACTGTCACCGTTCCACGTAGTCTAGGTGTGGCTGTCCTGACTGGTGACAAATGGACTTCAGTAAGGAGAAAAAGAAATGAGAAGAAAAAGACTGTGGGCAAAACGCAGCTGGTCAGCAAGGCATTGGAAGGGATGTTATCAGAAGAAAAATCCTCACTGCGTGACAAGACAGATCTCTCTGAGAGATCAGTCATTTTTCATAAGATAAGAGAATCTTCAGATAAAGAACCAAAGGCGAGATTTGAACACGATCTCAATCATATTAAGACATCATTAAGTAAACTACTCCCAGATACAGTTTCAGGAGTCAGTATTTGTAAGCTTTATAGAATAGGAAAAAAGGTGGATTCCAAAAGTCCTCCGAAAAACCGCCTCCTGAAGGTTACATTCAACACGGTGGAAGAAAGGAACCTGATTCTAAGGAATTCACGTAAACTGATAGGATCCGGAATATATGTCCGTGAGGATCTCAGCCTAGCTGATCGTATTAAGAGACGAGCTGCAGAAGCGGAAATAAACGAACGTTGCCAAAACGGGGAACGAAACCTTGTTCTTAAGGGTTTTCAAGTTGTAAAAGTTCGGAGCAAAACGATCCCCAAGCCACTCTGGGTGGCAAGGGAAAGCTCTCCACAGACTTAAAGGTATGCTACACAAATGCTCGCAGCCTACTAAATAAAATGGCGGAGCTCAAGTCAGTGGTGGATAAAGAGAAACCGGACGTTATTGCTGTCTCGGAAACTTGGTTAACGTCAGAAATATTAGATAGTGAAATCCAGTTGACTGGTTTCATAACCAGTAGGGCTGATAGATTAAACCGTAGGGGAGGCGGGGTTATTCTGTACACTAAAAGTACCCTAACCATAAGATTAGCTGAGACAGTAGCACATGTTTCAGGGACATGTGAACTGGTGAGATGTAAGTTGAAATGGTGACGGCAAGATATTGAATTAGTTGTATTATATCGCAGTCCAGAATGTGTAGCAGATGATTTTATCCTAGGTAAACTTAAGTCCTGGTGTAACAACGGTAAAAGTCTTGTAGTAGGCGACTTTAATGCACCACATATAAACTGGGTTAACTTAGAAGTAGGGTCATCCATATAGTCGTTCGACTGCAAACTGTTAGAAACCT